AAGAGCCCACTTTTTTTCCATGGCGTACCAGTCGACTACCCAAAGGGAATAAACCCTTTGAAAGAGAAAGCAGATCATACTACATTCTGCATATCTGCTGAACGTTTGCATAATCTACTTTAATTTCCCTTTAGCAATCCTACAGTTTTCGTCCGATCAACGCAAAGAAAAATAAATTTTTCCTAGCAGATCAGTCGATGGACTCCAATAAAGGTGCCCGAGAGTTGGTTTGTAATCATACCTGGATAGGTAATAATATACAATCCCCATCTTTTCTCACTACGGTAACTCAAAGAGCTTCCGCAGGAGCCAGCGACTCGCCCATCTGCTTCCCTAAGGAAGTGTTCGACAAGATTTAATCCGGGAAACTTAACAGTAGAAAAGATATTTCCTTTCTACCATAGATTATCCAAGACTCACAGCCTCGATGTGTGAAAAGCTCAAACTTTCGTTTTCGCCTTCCATGAGGTTCAATATGTGCTATCCGGACATTGATTATTTATTTTTTAGTAAAATCATCGGTCCGAAAAAAAAAATCAAAGTTTGGACAAAACTAAATTTATCTCAGCCAAAAAATGACTTAGCAAAAATTCAAAAATATAGTCAAAAATCTAATTTTTTTCTCTACAATTCTACGTATTGCTTGTTCATTTTGGATAAGTTTTCATAGAGTTATTTAGAATTTAAGGTGTTTTTTCATAGAGTTTGAGATGAAATCGGTGATTCAATTTTAACCTCAGATATGCACTTAGTAAATTTTAGTGATGGATTCTTAGTGATGGATTCTTAGTGATGGATTCTTAGTGATGGATTCTTAGTGATGGATTCTTAGTCATTTTAAATGCGCTTTCTTTTGTAACTTTACTTACCCTACTTATTGCTAATGTACTTTAATATAGTCCTTGATCAATTTAAATCGTTTTGGAGATACAATTTATATGTAAAAAAAAAATTATTTTTTGGAATTGTTAAGTAGGCTTTTTTTTTTAAAATCTTAGTCACCTTACCTATTACAAATGTACTTTACTATAATCCTTGATCAATATAGGTCATTTTAAGCCTATGTTTTATATGTAAAAAAAAAATCCCCATTTTTAACTATCTTTTACATGTAAAAAATAATAATATAATTTTCGAACTTTTCTAAACACATATTCTTTTTTACTTATCTTTGGCATGCGTACTGCTAGTGAGCTATATTATAGTTTACAATCAATATAGGTCATTTTAAGCCTATGTTTTATATATAAAAAAAATAAAAATAAAAAAAAAATCCCCATTTTTAACTATCTTTTACACGTAAAAAAAAATAATAATATAATTTTCGAACTTTTCTAAACACATATTCTTTTTTATTCATCTTTGGTGTGCGTACTACTAGTGAACTATATCATAGTTTACAATCAATATAGGTCATTTTAAGCCTATGTTTTATATGTAAAAAAAAAAAATAAAAAAAAAGATATACTAAATTGTTCTAAGATTGTTCTAGAGCTGTTAAGGAAACATTTAAAGTAAAGTAAAAAAAAAAAAAAAAAAATGAAAAAAAGCAAAACTACAGCAACCAGTATTCCCATGTGGTCCCCCACCATAGTACTGACTGGTCCAGATGTTGCTTAACTGCGGAGATCGGACGGGATCCGGTGTTTTCAACATTGTATGGCCGTAGCTCATAGAAAATTGAAAACTATTTGACACATTGTCATTTTTTTAAGTAAATTTTTTTCTGGGAGACTTTTTAAGTAGATAGCTATAAAGTAATAGCAGATTGTTGTCTTTTCTTTGTTTTGTTTATTTCTAGGTGATGGACGGCACTGGCCGGTAAGAAAAACCTAAGGTGTTGCTCCTTAATCCCGCACCTATATTTTGTGCTATTACACACACGCAGACAAAGCAGACAAAGCAGACAAAGCAGACAAAGCAGACAAGGCAGACAAAGCAGACAAGGCAGACAAAGCAGACAAGGCAGACAAAGCAGACAAAGCAGACAAGGCAGACAAAGCAGACAAGGCAGACAAGGCAGACAAACTTAACATAATACTTGCATACAAGTATCCTTGAAGATCAGAAGCCAAGTGTCAAACTGCTAAACCCAAATTACATAAGTGAACCTAGGCACATGTGAGGTAAGAACATTAAACTAATACTGTTTACATAAAAAAAAAGCAAAAAAAAATTAATATTTAATTTGTATAGCTGAAAGTGTTCCCGTAAGGAACAAATTCAATGACAAGGGCTTAATCTCAGTACATCGTAGCAACAAAGGCTACTCTAGTACTTACAATACCCCGTCCATTTCATGTCGTCTGCATGCGATTTATCACTTTGATCATTTGCATTATCATCACAGGGTAGTGAATCACAGCATTTCCGCTGCAAAGCCTATCCCGCAAGTAAGGTTTTCAAGCCGAAGCTTTATTTGTACACAACTAGTACAATCAAAGCACAGTAGTATCGCTTCCAGCATGGATTCTGACTTAGAGGCGTTCAGCCATTATCCAGCAGATGGTAGCTTCGCGGCATTGGCCTTTCAACCAGCCGCAAATACCAATTATCTGAATGAAGGGTTCCTCTCGTACTAACTTCAATTACTGTTGCGATACCAATACCATCAGTAGGGTAAAACTAACCTGTCTCACGACGGTCTAAACCCAGCTCACGTTCCCTATTAGTGGGTGAACAATCCAACACTTAATGAATTCTGCTTCATTATGATAGGAAGAGCCGACATCGAAGAATCAAAAAGCAACGTCGCTATGAACGCTTGGCTGCCACAAGCCAGTTAATATATATATAACTTTTCTACGACCAAAACCGACGGTTTTGAGGTCGGCGGAACATGATATTCCAGGGGTCATTAGGTGGACGAGAACATGTAGATACCGGTATACAGCAGAAAATGGACATAAACGTCAAAACACATATTGTGTTTTGTTGTATCCACACAACTAATAAAGTGAACATTCATGGATAAACTTGGATACTACAGAATTATAGTCTAACCAGATCTCTATTAATAAATGTGAGACTTCTGCAATAGCCAATCTTACCCTGTTGTCCTATCAGCGTTCTAAATACTATATCGAAACCTGATTATAATAACGGCAGTTCAATCCTATTTTATAATTATGGATTAGATCAATAAGTATTTACTTCATTGTTCCTTGATTCGTCAAGAAGAAACCGGCTATTGGTTATTCACTACCCTTTCCTTATCTTCCATATTATTCTTTTAACCGATCAATTGAAATAGCGGTAAAGACCCAGACATTCAAAAAGTATAAATACCCTCAATATTTTTTATTAATAAAGTCATAAATAATCTTTAGTTTCACAACTATCGTCTTTTTGTAGTTTTTGTCTTCTATTTCATATTTGGCAAAACATGTTTAATGAAAAACTACATTTTATACGTCGGCGGACAATTATTAAAAAAACTATTTCCATAAAACGTTTATTGCCCTTTTTATATAGCAAGAATGCTTTAAATGTTGCTTAAAATACAGCAGAATTTAAAAAGTTTATTATCGAATTTTTGATTACAATAGTAGAGAAGTTTAGTTTTGACCCATAATTTTAATTTCATAACAAAAGTTGTCGAAACCTATGATGATGGATACCATAGACGTCATTTGCTCTATGTATATCAGAGCACAGCAGATTTGCTTGAACGTTCACCTGTTTATTATGTAAAACTTGAAAAAAGTTGAATTATAAATTAGCTGATTGTTAGATGGGTAGTCCGTTTTGATTGGCTGACTTCAAGGAGTCATGAGTGAATCCGGCTGCTTACTAAAAAGAGACAATAGAAGAGGCCATTGCTAGCAAGCCTATGGGTCCTAGGCTACCACACTGAGTTTTGGCATTTTTTATCATAGACAGAGATCCAGCTATCCATGTATTCGGTTTTCCGAAAAAGATCCTGATACGTCAGGATCGACACGAAAGTCCGCCTACTGTCCTAAAACGGAAATCATGACGCGTGAAAGAGTTTGCTCTACTTTGCAGGGAAGGACCATATCCTAACAGAGATCAGCCACTATGACATGCTTAAAGGAAGGCACTCGACACATTTGAGATCACCAACAAAGAGGATAGTCAATACTCGGGTCGGCAGTAGACTGGCTAAATTTTAATAAAGGAGAACATGACTCAACAAGAAATCTGCATAATATCTCATGAAAATGGTAGAGAAAAAAATTTATAAAAAGAAGGAAGACCAGATTATTTTTTTTTTCAAAACCAATTCTTTCGTTAAAATAATGTTCAAAATAACAAAAAAGGAATTCTGAAGGAAAGAAAAGTATTTATAATCTTTTTGATGTCAAGTCATTTGCTTTCATGATCGTTGTTTCCATACTTCAATACTTTAACTGTGTTATTTATAATGATAATTGTTAACGCTTTATTATATTGTGTAATCCATACTACCTTACTGTGGGATTTATTCTTTGTTTTTCTTTTATTTTTATTACAACACTATACAGTGTAGGATAGAGTTGCACGATTTTGATCACTTTCCATTGGATTCCTAACAATAACAAGAAATTATATTGTTTTCTTGATCCTTGTTTAAAATAACATAAATACAATACACTTGCATATAGCATGCTTTATGTTGAGACTAATTGTATCACCTTATGTCATTGAAGCTTGTATACAATTAATTATTCACTCTTACCTACAAAAGATTGCCTTAAATGACTGAATGAGATGATTGGGAAAAGTAAGCTTGTAACATCAAAAGTCCAGCTGAGGAAACTGAAAATAAAAAAAGATACAAAATGGAACAGTATAGCTTTGTAGCTGATTCCGCTCTCTTAAAAACCCCCTACAATTCAATTTTTGCAAAAAAAAAAAAAAAAAAAAAAAAAAAAAAAATTAAAATGGGAAGGCTACGATTTATTGTGAAAGAGGAAAAATACCCCCTATTCCGCCATCATAGTGTGTGTATCTGTTCAATCTGCTTCATGTGAAAATTCTAAAGTATGACTAGAGATCGGATTCGTGGTCATGTATACTCTAGAGGTTATCTAGATCTTCTGTCTGAAATCAAGTAGTTTTTGCGATAAGGGAGAAGAGATATATGTTGCCAAAGGACAAAACTATAGGTAGGACTTTTTTTATTTTGGTAATTACTCAAAGTTTATGGGCAAGAAAAGAATGTAAATGCTGCTATTGTTTAACCATGGCAAAGTTAGTCTATTCTTTTTGTTCTAGTTGCCAAGGACAAGCGATAGAATACGTTATGAGGAGATGTATGTCAACCAAGATTTTGACCAATGAAGGCTTGTGCTGATGTTTAGAAAATAGCAAGGAGGTTGTCTGGAGTGGCAGAACGAGTGTGGTTGAGAAAACGAAGCACTGGGCATGAAAAACAGGTTGAATTTCCTCTACTGTCAAGGAAAAGTATGCTCCTGCCGTCTTTGTTTATCAGAGTATTCACCACAAGGGTTTTACGCTCATAAACCGTGAAGCGGTCAGAATGTGGGTAGCGTTCTCCACTAGCACGAGTGAACTTGAATTACCGGAGCAGGAGTTTTTGTCATGATCCATAGGATTGTATCAGAAAGCCTCCCTTCAGGAACAAGAACTGTAGATCACAATGTAGTCTGGAGTTAGCTTGCGGCGAAGCAAGCAAGCAACTGCAAACAACATGTCAAACACTTAAAAAACATGAGTTATCTTGGTAGAGTTGTCCATCATCTGTTATTCGATAGCGCTGGATGTTTTTAAAGAAAACCTGGAGCAAGAAGGTGACAACTGCAAACCACCTATGTTGCCATTTTGATATATGTAGCTGAACGACAGAAGGATCTATGCAACCATGAAAATCAAAGAGTCGTAGAATTTTTTTTTCTAAAAATGATTGATGTATAACCTATATATTGTACTTTCTGCATTACTGTGGTATTTGGTGAATAGTGATACTTTTATTTATTACCCTATTATTTGTCTCAGTCCAGCCATGTCAATTACACAATGAACAGCCAGGCAATATAATCCAGGGTTCACGCGAAATTATTAGTTCCTCTATTTTTTTAATTAATAAAATAGTAATTGTTAACAATTGACTTCTTACTTTTTTTTATATTACAAGTACCTAATACCCCAATTACGCCAAAACTCAACCATAATTTGCCTGTAGAGCTGCCGGAGACAATATGTATTACAACTGAATGTGTTCCAACTGTAGACGGCATAAAATACTGAACTGTACAAAGGCGATTTTATTTAGGCACTGTTTTTTTTTATTTTTTATTTTTTATTCCACACTAAGTGTTGCATGATAAAGTAGTATTTTGTTCTTTAGTGTTAATTTATCTCAAAGGAGCCATTCGTAAACGTATACAAGCACTTCTATTACACCCTCATTCTCCCCTTATATACTGTCAGTCGAAATCGTAGGCTTTGGTTATGGCCACTAACAGCTGAGTCTAGAAAAGGACACAACGATCTGTGACTGACGCGTATCTTGTCATGGTATATCTTCCCAATGAGAAATATAATTAACGGAATCTCTTTATGCACAATATAGATATGGAAAACTGTCATGTTTTGACATGTCAATAAGATAACAGTCTTATCATCCTAAGTTAAATCTTTACAAATGAGTTTGAATAAGAATAGATCCTGATAATTACCAACTGCCCTGAACAGCCAAGTT